TTCTATCTTATTGACCTTTGCTTCAACAATTCGGGTAAAGAATATGTTAGTCTAGGTAAAACCAAAACCAAACATGGACATGCTAAGAAGCTGGCAGTGATCTAATGTGAAAAAGCTCTTCGGCTATCCCAAAACTGCAAATGTGGCGCAGAACAGTGGATTCGGTGAAATGCCCGTTACTAATATTTATAAAAATAGAGAGGGCGATAAGGGAAGGTAACCAGTTAATTTGGCACCATCGCATAACTACGTTGCATTTTTCAATATGTTCTGCTTTCAGTTACTATGGCCAGCAGAAATTCACAGCATGGTTTTTTTAGCTATGTATTTGATAGCTTTTCCAGTTACTACGACCAAAGCTTGCTGACGAATCCCAATCAGAACAATTTTTTCTTTACACGGTTTTTCCGGTTCAGCGTTCCCATCTTCCCTCGAAACTGAATACAGCGCAGGAAGTTCGGAACTCAGGTATTATTAAAGAAGAAATTCCATGCTTCCGAAATCAGTGTTCATAAAAGTAGTAGTCTGCATTAAAACTGAAATTCTTTCAAAATGACTTAAAAGAAAACTGAACTCTACCAATTCTTGCACATTCTACTTACCTCCGGCCACCAAAAATAAACGCCTCGATTGGTACTCCACCAGGCGCCTCCCATTTCGGATGTATTATTGGGCATTGACTGGCCGGGCAGGTGAACCGAGAGTTAGGATGAGCTGCTTCGCCCTTATCGCCAATTTTCCACTTTTGGCCCAGCCAATTTGTCATTTCAACTTTTGGATTCTGAAATGATAATGGAAAAATTAGCTAAACATCTGATACTCAAAATGTGTAAAATTGACGAGCGTCGTCTGCAAGACTAATTCACGATGGCCTTACAAGAAAAAATTAAGGAGTCGCTAAATCTGAAATGAAAAGAGATTATCAAGATCTATATGGATAACCTTGATCTCCTTTTCCAGGCCTTCCCAATAATATTCACCATCGGCAGTTTCGGCAACATTTGTAAAAATGCTGTTTTTTTGAAATGATGCCATAGCCATTGGATTGGTTTTATTGGATGTTCCTGGTGCCACGCCAAAAAATCCTGCTTCCGGATTTATGGCATACAGTCGGTTATCGTCGCCAAATTTCATCCATGCTATATCATCACCTAAAAATTGCCGCTTCCAAATGCATCGGCAAAGTAATCATTTTAATTACAAGCAAATTTCAATTACGTATAGGGCAATTTCCACAAATTCATCAACAACTTCAGAGTCTGGACAAGAAGGACCATGCCCATCTTTCAATACCGAAGTGTTTAAGGCAGAGGTATGGAGCGAGGTGACTGACGAAAGCTGAAGAGCGAGTGCTAGCTGTGAAGGAGAAAGCAACGAAGTGCAGATGTCTAGTGCATCTCTTCGTGACCGGACAAACAGTCAGCTGCTT